AGTGCAGTGTATCAAGAGTATGTAAGTGGTACTGACTGCAAGCAGCAGCACAACTCTGGTCTCTGAGGAGGCTTTCAGAGTTACATAATGCCCCATTACTTTCAGGAGACACTGAATAGGAACCTTCTTTTAGTCTAGAGATTTGCTTAATTTTTGAAAAGACAACTATTTGCAGATCTGACAAAATACTTAGAATGTCGTGACTACTAGATTTAGCTGACAGTTTGAAAGAGAGGAGGACAAGTCCCAAATTGTGAAGTGAAATCCTAATCCCTTTAAAATTAAGATTTTTCTTTGTTCTGTTTTGTTTTCCAGTCACGACAATGGAACAAAGAATGTATCCTTGATTATGCTACTTATGGACTGTGAAGACTTGGGTGAGTAAGAGTTCTGTTGTGCTGTTTATCTATTATCAAAGTAGTTTGTCCATTATCAAGTAAAATAATAAAATTGAGAGCCCTTTCTTGGCTTAACAAAACTAGTGGAGTTACTGTTCTGTGAGATTTCTGGGGAAAATACTTTTGCAATTATTTGCCTGTACTATCATGCTAACACCCTATGTGTGCTCCATTTAGCAGTTCAAAAAGTGTAATCTTTATTTCAAAAAAAAATACATATGTAACGTAATGACAGACACTGTCAGAGAAATCTTAGGTAGATAAACAGACACAAGATAGAGTATAAAAAGCATAGTCACAGCAGTGCAGCATGATGCTATTGCTGAGAATGGTTCCCAATCTGAACATTACCAAATAAAGGGGGATAGAGCTGGAGAGAGGGTTTAAAAGTGTCTTATTGATTCACACCACCTTTGACATTGCATTTTTAAGTACTGAAAAGTTTCTAAAAAAAACCAAAAAACACAAGGTAGTTTTATGCTAAAGCAGATAGTGACAAAATCTGCGTTCATGTTACAAATCAGAATCATTCCTAGTATAAAAACTACTGCCTTCCAGAGAGTTCACATCAGATGTGAGATTGGTCGTGGATGTTAAAAGCCATGGTCATACAAGATTAAAAACTTTTTCTAAGAGATAGCAATTTTATTTTCATGCAGAAGGATGTGTAGCAGACATCTGGACTGGCAGAGTGAACAACAGCAGTGGCAGCATGAGCAGCAAATTTTGTTATTATTAGCAATTCAAATGCAGGTATCAGAATGGTTTTGTGTTTGAATCATTCATCAGGGTTTGCTCCAAGGCTAAAACTTGCTTTCTGGAAATTCCATAAAATTTAATTCAAAACACTTATTTTCTCCATAGAATGAAAAAGAAGGAAAAAGAACAGGGAAGAACATATCAAAAGAGTTATTTCAAGAGTATTAAGATTTTTTTTCATTTTTGAAACATAATTGAAGCATTATTTTCAATCTAAAAATTCACTCCAGTTCCAATTCTATAGAAAAATCTAGAATGGGTTTTTCTTGGACAGTTCTCTGACTTCTATACATATGTGAAACTCAGTGATTTGCATGCTTGGAAGAATCACCAGCTTTTCATCTCTGTTATTAACACTCCAGCAACTGTCTTGTTAAAAACTCCTATTCTGTTATTACAATGTGTAGACTTCCTGCAAATGGCTCTTTCTGCTTATGTAATCATCTTTCAATACTGCATCCTACTAAGACAGTCAATTACGAGCCATTCTGCCCTGTCAGAGCAATGAAGCATTTATGTACTTGAGATATTCATGTCTGGAGTTTTCATTTTAAATCTAAGAGCTCCCATCACCTTCTGAAATTCTTTGCTTTATCAAGTGATTTTGTTATATAAAGCCATTACTGAAGGAAAGACTGTTTCATTATTCATCACTTGCTATCACCAGAAGTCTTGAAAGTATAATAGAAAACAGTCTCTGTTTGAGCATTCATCAAGGTAGATAAACCATTATCTCACTACATTAGGAGAGACACAGACAGAGTACATCACGTTTTAGCATCCCTGAATGCTTGAATAGTGTCATGAGAATCGAGGGCCAGATATGAATAGGTAACCAGATAAAATTTATCTCTAAAAATATGGTATGGTGGGTAGTCAAAATAACTAGGGACATGGAACATTTTGGTACCACACTTCCAAAGCATAGTTCACTAAAACTTAGAGACCACAAAAATGTCAAATAGTCATGTAACAGTTTGAATCACTTTGGTGATTTGACCTGTCTGGTTACACACCAAAATCTCTCCATCACTCCATCAGTCAGCTGCAAGGAGAGAGAAAATTTTGTGAAAGGCTCATGGATTGAGAAAGCGACAGGTAAAGAGCCCTCACACAAATTACCATCAGGGGCAAAACACACTTGACTTGGGGAAATTAATATGAATTACCAATCAAATCAGTGTAGGTTAGTGAGAAATAAAAGTACATCTTAAAAAACCTTCTCTTCTGTCCATCACTTCTTCTAAGGCTCAATTTCATACCAGATTTTCTCTACCTTCTCTCCTCCCATCCAGCAGGGAGATGGGGAATGGAGATTGAAGTCAGTTCATCACACATTGTCTCTGCCTTTCCCTCCTCCTCAAGCAGTAGTATAACAGCTCTGGGAAACCACTTTTTTAAAATGCTAAAAATAAACACTGTCATGCTATTAGAGATCTAAATAAGCAATTTGTATTGGTTCATATTCCCGGTTTTAAGATTTTCACTGGACTGAGGAATTGAATGTGCAGAAGAAAGAAAAAGGAAAAAGAAAGTCTCTGATCCTGTGGAAAAAAACCCAAAGAGTTGAAATTAGAAAATAACCTACTGTTATTTTTAAATTTTCAGGCAATTTTAAGCATATCTTATGTAGGCTTTGACCTTAATACAGAAGTGAAGGAATATCTGAGTTATTTACGTATTGACAGTTATATCTGTTCCCCATCAAAGCAAAAATATTCTTGAATTAATTCAGCTTCTTGCATCTCAGATAGTTTTACTTTCTACTCCACCTCCAGATACCAATACTTATTACAAGGCTTTTCACAAGTCAACTCCTTCATGCATAACATAGTATTACAACAAACAAGAAATATTTGCCTTCTAGTCACTGTATATTTACTGTGTGTGGGCTTTGCAATACACTTCCACTGTGACATACTTCACCAAATTGCTGAATCTCATTTGCCTTCAGAAAAAACCTTGAATAACTCACACAATGTGATCCTCTTGCTGCTATAATGGATTAATACGTGGTATCCTTGGGAAAATATCCAGGCATATTTTACACAGCTGTGATTAGGTGGAGATTTCACAAAAAAAATATATATATGCTTCAAGGAATTATTTATAGTGGTCTTGTCTTCAAAATTATGATTTTGGTCAAGAAACAAATTAATATGGGTCTGCTATCTTGACCACACTTTGCCCTCTAGCCTACCTCAAGAAATAGCTGCATAAATGTGAAAAAAATTATCTGCCCAAAAGCGGGTAGGAAAACTGAAGTAATACTGGGGAATTGCATCTTAGGAATGAGGCAAACTGGCAGCTAGTGAATGGATTTGTATTGCTACATAGCTTGGCATATAGTCAAAAAATGAACTTGGTCACTTTTTTCTGTAGTGCATCATGTAGTGCAATAAATTGAGGATGAAGATAAGCAGAAAATCTACTGTGTATTTGTAGCTCTTCACTTGCTTATTCAGCATATCAACTGCTATTGCCATTTGTTTATTGATTTTCATTTTTATTTTATTTTTAAATAGAAGAAACCAAAGTGTTCTTTTGATTTATCTTCCTTCCAACAGCAGCTTTAGCTTTATTTCTAAGCTTCTGACACTCATTTTTCTTAAGCTGCAGTTTTCTATTTGTACTCTATATGCTGTGTACAATAAATACCTGTATGGAATGGCCTCTGGGAATTTTGCCATAACCAAGTAAATGAGGACAGAACTGCTATCTCATCCTTCCAGTCACCATACTCAATTTCTTCTTTAAAATGTGTTACCTCATACTGCATTAAAAAAAAAATCATTTCTAGCAAGTGGAGTAGCTTGATTTAAAATGTCCAAATAGAAAGTTAAAATAAGGGAATTAAACCATTGTATTTTCTCTAAGCATGATCTTCCAAACAGGGTCTTTAATGGCATCCCACAATATTATGGACATTTACGAATTAGATTATTCACCATGTCATTTTCACATCTCCCTTCAGATGTAAGAAACTCACATCCCAAATGAAATTTTTACAAAAAACTGAAGTTAAAAACAGAATTATCAAAATTATTGAATGATTAAACTAGTGACTGTGGAAGTCTCATCCTGAGATTCAGTATGATGGGGAAATATTGATGATAATAAGGACTTTTAGCAAGAACAGAGAGATGTCAGTGTCACTATACTGCAATTAGAAAAAACACGAGTGTTAGAATGCACAGAATTCACATAGCTTTTGTGGCAGGAAGCTCAGTCCTGCCTGAGAAATTTGTGTTGGTCAAACCCTTTGCTTCAACAGATTTCCACTCTGTGTTTGATAGCAGACAGAGTCAGGTGAAAGCTCTCTGTGCTACCGACAGGGTTGCAGGTGGAACTTTGCAGTGTGCAGCCTCAGGACGCCCTGTGAGACAGAAAATCCCGGAGCACACAGTCATGGGGCAGCAGATCACTCAGGGGAGCTCCCTCGTGTACCTGTGCTTGCAATGCTAGTCCCATGCCAGAAGAAGGGAACACGAGCCCAAATATGTTGCAGTGTGAGCTCATTCCATTTTAATTCCCAGTCCCTCCCCAGGCGTGGCAATACCCCTCTCCCTTCCCCCTCTCCCCCTTGCTGAGTGAGTTCTGTCAGTCAGGCTTAACATTCCAGCAAGGCCCATTGTGTGGTTGGTCACTTTCAAAGGATGACCCTCAGGCCTGGGGTCATTGGCCTGTCCCTGTGTCCCTCGTCCCCAGAGACCCTCCTCCTCCCACCTGGTCGGTGCTCACCTGTCCCTTCCCCTCCCCCTGTCCCTGGCTTAAATTGAGCCTGGACCATGTCTCTTTTATTCTGTTGGAGCTGTTACCAAGACTCAGATGTGTGTGGACAACGGAATAAAACTCTGGATATAAACCCTCCGACAGAACCCATCTCCTTTTCCTCTTCACCCTCGCCGGAAGCCTTCCTACCTAAGGTAAACTGAATTTCTATAAGCCTGGGTTTGTTTCAGTGCCCTGCTGCAACCTCCAGCCAGCCAAAAGTGTCTCTGAGGTGAAACACCACAGTTGCTGCCTTTGGCCCAGCAGCAAGGGTCAGACGAGCCCAGGCACAATCTACCTGGTAATATTGGGATTCATATTCCAATACAAATGTTTAGTCAGTATGAAATTATATTTGCCATGTGGCTTTTATTTCAATATACACACACTTTATCTGTGCAATAATGCATCGTATATTAAAAAAAAAAAAATTAAAAAATGTAAAACGGCCTTACCAATTTATCCCACAAGAGTAGTACCAGTCTTCTTTTTTGGTAACAATAGTGAATTTTTGCCACTGTTTCCAAAAAAGCCCCCACATTTTTCTTTTGATGACTCTCAAAAATTAAAATATTTTCAGAATAAAGCATGTCTATTTTGAAGGTTGTCTTCTCTGCATAGCTCTGTGAAGTTACCCCTAGTTACAACATAATTTTCACAGTACTATCTCTAAGTTATCCGTGAAAGACAGGAAATACAAATTTTTTTTTTCAACCCCTTTTATATTCAGAGGTAGTAGCAACTATGAGATTGTGCATTGCAAGAATTGTGTTTGTTTGCTAACTAGGAGTACAGCAATTATGGTTGTAGTTAGAGACATTTGATGAAGGAGTTCTGTATTGAAAAAAAATAAAAGAGGGAGATAAAAAAAGAGAAACATAACTCATTTGGAATCTGCTAAGATTTTAACAGTTGGGTGAATTCCCCACCCCCTTCAATATCTTCCATGGGATGGGGAAATTGCACATTTTCTGTGTCCTTCAGTCTGACAAGCACAAAAAGTGTTGCTGTTAAATGACTACTTGGACAATTTGCATGATGGAGATTGTAACTGGCTCTCTGAAATACAGTGAAGTACTTTGGAAATTGTTTTAGGAGTAGGCACAAGTGAAAAAGGAAGGTTAAAAAAAGAGAGAGCATAATGTGTTTCAAGCTCTTTTTACATTTTTTCTCTGCTCAAAAATTTGTCTTTCTGTATCAAAGATGTAACATTTCTGACTCACAACATTGCACAAATATTGCCAAACAAATAAGCATTTTACCAGTCTTGCAAAAGCTGCCTTCAACAAACAATAGTAATCTAAAGGGCAGAAGGAAATCTGTGACATTTTCCTAAGGCAAATACTACTTAATTGAAAACATTTTCACCTTAAGAACTGTAAAGACTGTCACTCGCATCTCCTGCTTTTCGATTACAGTAGGAACTTGTTTAGATCCGATTCAGCTAACATGAATTAACCAGATGGAATTAAGCCAAGTTTTATTAGATGACTAGGCAGTAATACCTTTTGCAGGACATACTTTTTAGGCAGAAGAGACCCAGCCACTATAGTGTTCACTGCTAGTAATTTCTGAGCCATTTCAAAGTGATGATGACGCTGGGATGCAACAGAGGTGTCAGGAATGGGAACAGCGCCAGTTTGAAATCTGGCTTGTGTGCTGTTAGGCACTAGGGATGTCCTTAGGCGAAGCAAGAAGTTTCCTGGGGCAACAGCATGATGAGATTTTGATGGCAAAATTGCAGAAGTGGCAGAGCTTCTATAGACAGCAGCCTCCCAAGAATTGCAATGTTCTGCCTCAGCAGTCCTTGGCTACAGTCCCTGGTTTTGCACATCCAACCTTATCCTTTTATCACCCTTAAAGCACTCTTGTTGGGGAAAAAATCCATTTAAATATAAGTTTACCTCAGCGGAGGGATTACAGTATGGCCCTCTACTCCCCTATCTACCTCCCTAAAACCAGAAATGCTGTTATTTCTCAGCAAAACACAGAAGCTGGGGACAAAGGCACGTGCTCATTTCAGGGGCTGTTGTGCTTTGTCAATCTCAGAACACTGATTTTTTGGGGGAGAAATTCTCCCTAAAGCACCTTTTGAGATTTGAAAAATAAAACCAGTGAGAAGAGTGAAAATGGGTTGAGCACAGAATAAGAACCTTGATTTTGAGAAACTGGGAGCATGAAGATATGGCATATGTCAGTAAATACAATGTCCAGTGTTATTACTATGTCAGGAAATTATTATTTTAATCTCTCCTCACAGGCTAAAAAGCAGGCAAAACTTTTTTTCTGTATCTATTAAAAAAAAAAAAAAGGAAAAGAGGGAAAGTCATCTCTATATTAAGGAAGAAGTGTAATTTCTGGGTAATTTCTGCCTAAACTGATCTGTTTCATTAATATGATGCATTTCTTAGTGTTTTATTTATTTTGAAACAGAACATTAATCCATTATTTTAATTGACCAGCCATGACAGCTTTTTCATTACTTATGACAGCTGGTTTCAAAGCTGAAATTTCTGCTTTAAAAAATATTTACATTTTATAAAAGGGTTATCTCTCAAAAAAATCAGGCATAACAATGAAAATAGAATAAGCAAAAGGCAATGTTGGTGACTATGCAAAAAATTGCTTTTCACCATTCATTTGCTGTGAATTCTGTATTATTTCCTGATGAGAAGAATTAATAACCCTGGACTGGATATTTATACTGTTGAAGATGTGCACTTAGGGAACACCTCCAGAATGGTTCGTTAGGAGTGAGGGCCTATTACCAAGGAAGCACTTATACACGTGAGAATTAGGTCCCCAATTCTTGAGTGTCCTAAGCTATTTTGTCACCATACACCTCACAGGTATCAGCTTCTGCCCTTCTAACCTATGCTGGTGCTCAGTATTGTTGCTAGCTTTGATACTGAATACACTCTTGGCCAAAGCACTTGCCCAGGGCAGGGAAGACCTGTGCATCCACAGGAGCTAAACCATCTTGAGAGTAGGGCAGATTCTTGCAAAAAGAAGAAAGATTCCTGAAAAGAAAACTTCACACAAAGAATCTCATCTTGTAGCCAATTGCCCAACAGTACTAGTCACGGCCTCTCTTGAGTTCCCCAATCTTGATTTATTGCCTTTCATCTTCAGTGAGTGCAGTAGATGAACACCCACCTCTTGCTCTGAGAACAAATCGCATTGAGTGGGGAAAATAGACTCCTGGGAGGACATCTGGGGGTGCAAGCCCAGCCAAGCTAACCATGAGCTTCCTGCTTTCTGCATGAGTAAGTTATTTGGGCTGTCACATGAAAGTGACCTTATTCACACTAGTGACAGAGTTTGGACACTGAAGGGATGTCTTCAAGCTGCAAGTCAAGGTTCAGAGAGAAGCTCTTCTGTAACCCTGACCGGAATGCATCAGGTCCAGACAGATTTCAAATACAGCCCAGTGCTTGCCTAAACAGCTGCCTGTAAAAGTTAAGCAGTTTCATGCTCAGAGTTGCCACTCTTTAGAGGTCCAGCCTGAAATCATTCACCTCTGCCAATGTGCTCACAGGACCTTACTCAAATACAGGGCTGGGCTGTGTTCAAAGGAATGGACAATCTGTGTTCCTGTGAAGAGCTTTTAGGTACCTGAGTCCTCAGCTGGATAGTGCAAAAAGTACTATTTGGCATGGTTAGGGATTATTAGGTTCTTTCTAAATATATTTTATTGAAAATAGAGAATATACTCCCAGTTTAGAAAAATAGACAAGAACGCCTCCAAACATACCCACAACTCCCACTGAAGATATTCTTCCATAATTAGTGTCTTGCAAGTGATTCCAGTAATACTCTATTTCCTTTTTAAGTCTCTCTGCTGGTAGGTTGCCATAACTCAAGCATTGAATTATTTAATGTTATGCAAATTATAATGACTTGCAATTCCAAGCTACTACAAATAGATGGCACTAGGAATTTGTGGATACTCCATTTTTAGCACCTAGATGTATCTATTTTTTCATTAATTTTGATGCTTTGTCAAAATTTTTCTAATAGGTGTAAAAATATGTGCATTTCCAAGTGAATGAAAAGCTAGTTAAATTTTTCTGATTTTAGCAATGAAATGGGGATGAATAAATATCTTCCAAAATTTCGAAGTTCTTTCATGAAAAAGTAACTACTTTCTTGCCAGCAGAGAATGCAGAAGTATATCTGAGCTTCATCTGGTCTCACATTTTAGACATTTTATTTCTTGAGCAAGTATCTGCAGGAGCTGTATAATGCACTGAGTTTTACATAGGCCAATATCAAAGAATATGATTTGCTAGAAGATACTGATCTAGAATATTTAAATTCATGTTTGCACAGAGTTCATTTTCCATTTTGCATTGGAAAAATGAATACAAGAGTGAAACTATAAAATATATTAAGGTTTTTTTAAAATATTTTTTAAAAGAGTTTAAAAGAATTTAACCATTTCCTGACCAATGTTACTTCCATAGAATGAGTTGTGGGCCTCTATGTTGTCTAGATTTGGTTTTATGAGACAATAATGCTGCTCTCAATTGTCTTTCTGTTTGCAAAGGAACAAGCAATCTTTTCACACAAGCAGATGTATTTCTGGTAATGAGAGGACATATTTGCCATCAAATCAGTTACAGGTTTGTCTTTTTGTTCTCTCTTTCCACAACTGTGATTATTTTGACTAAAAATTATTGCTGTCTAAAGCATAAGGATCTGTAAAATCAGCACCGTGTGAGAACTTTGTGAATCTGCAAGTTGTATTTCTATTACACTATTAGTATCTACAGGAAATATTTCCTGGGGGGATGGGGGGAAAGTCTCCACATGATCTACAACAATCTTTAAAATTCAATATCTGCCAAGGCTGATTTTTACATAGTATGTAAATCTGAAAAAGAATTTGTGGATAGGTGTAGTTGAAACTAATTTAATAGTAGTTTTAATTTGCACATGTGTGCAGCAATTGGGGTCTTAGGTTAGCTCTTGAGAGTACAACAGGAAGTTTAGATGGAACTACGTTCTAACATTAACAATGTCAAAAATCAACTTGTGTTCATAAATCTTTCATTTCAGTATTTGTTTGCTGCTAAATTCCAGAAGTTTTCATTTCCATCAATACTTTTATGCATGACAGCTGGTGTTTGAGTATACAGTTAGGAAGAGCTGTGCTGGAAAGTTGGCAAATTGTGGACAAGTGGAGAGAAATGAAATGTTAACTTTTTTTTGCCAGTTTTTTATATTGAGTGCAGATTTTATATATAAAATATGGAAGCAGACAATACAATCCAAGCCATTTAAAGATATTGAAAATCAAACAACCTGAGCTTGAAGCACGTTTTCCAGAATTTTTGAGTTTGAAATTAGCAAGCCCATTTCTATTAAACTATAATTATAAATTTAAGTTATTAATGAGACTCAGGGTGTAATACAATTACATTTAACCCTCTCTGTAATGTTTTTTATATTCAAACCAGAGAAAGTAGCTTACTAGTGTCTTGTTAAGTGTGTTCTTCTGTGCTAGCATGAAGAGCCTGAAAAAATTCAATGTGGAAAAATTTATCAGAGTAATGCTTACTTGTGATTTTTACTTTTGTTTGAGTAATCATAATGTGATTTTGTATTATTAGTGTAATTTTTAACCATAAATATTACAAAATCTTGAATTTGATATTTGAAAATCAGATCACTTAAGGATCATGACTTTCTTTTAGAACATTTCCAGTTCTTTGCTTTCTGAAACAATGAAAGATAGGAAATTTTTTTTATAATTAAAAGATATCCTATTGGATATAAATCTAACCAATTTGAAGTCATTAGAATCTTTACACTAATTATTCTGCAGAAGACAAACACATCTCCTTGTAGGAATACAGCTTGTATTTTCTGTTTTCAATGAGATTAGGCAAGTATATTTTTTATTCTTTTCATACAAAAGCAATAATTCCAGTATTTTCACAAATTTTATTCTTGAGAGAGGGAAAGGAAACTTGTTTAACCAGCTGCCTGCCACAATTGCATTCCTCTGGAAGATAAGAACTGTCAGTTCTGCTTTGGGAAAACTTTGCTGTATTTTATTCTGTTCCCTCCATCACTTATTCCTCCTCAGTGCAGTTCCTCCTCCTGAAAAGGTGGGAGGACCTTGCAACTTCACTACCCAGGCATCAAGAAAATGCTGAAGCATGCCAGAAGAATCAGGAGGACAGAATATAAAGGTAAAATTAAATGAGGGGGAGGATCTGCTTTGCCACTGTCATGTGAAAATAGAGAGTTGGGACAGAACTGATGCACCATCTGACAGGATATGATTTATTTGAAATTTGGGTGGGTAGAAGTACTCTCTGAACAAGAAATTAGTATTTGCATGAGTAAGGCCTATGAAAGAGACTGGATTATTTTAGTTTAAAAATCTGGCGAAAACAGCAACATCCATTTTCAGAGCAGCACATTGAGTATAACTCAGGGACATACAAAAACCCTAAAATATAATCTCTGCAAGGAAACTAAAAATCCAAACAAAAAATCCAGCAACCAAATAGGTTTTCATTATTCAGGAGTCTTTACTTTTGAGAGTAAAACAGTAGAAAATTTATATGTATTTTCATTGATCCCAGTATTTCTGGAAACAGTTATTTTAACAAAGGAACAGTTTGGTTCTACATATGAGAGCGCTTTAACATGATAATCTGGCATGTAGCCCTGGAATCAGTGATTAGATAATGAAATCTATAAAACTTCTATAAAATACATGGTGGGAAAACTGGTTATATACTTTCTTCATGCATATTTTTAGTTGTTGTATTTGAAAATGTGAACTAAAGTTTCAGGAAAGAGATTAAGTTAATGTAAAGCTATGGTACCAATCTCTAATCCATTCAGCTGCCTGATTGGTTTTCTCATACACAAATTCTGGTTCAGTGTGTTGCTTCACAGGAATGATGAAGAGATGGATGACTTGTAAAAGATGCTGTCCATTTTATATAAAAGAGGTGATAAAAAAGGAAAGGGCAGTAACAATAAAAAAGAAACAACAGTTTTTAAAATTTATTAACCTAAAGTCCTTCATTAGTCAGTAATTCCCCTAAAGAGCTGTAAGAAAACTGTTCTATTTGAACACTAGTTTCTGATGTAACAAAATCAGTATTATTAGACCAAATGATTATTTTTTAAAAGTTTTTAAATCTGAAAATTTTGCATCTGTTGGGGTTTTTATAATAACAAGAAAGAGAATTTCTTACAGATAATATAATTTCTTTCCTAAATAAACCAATCTATTTACCCAAGCAGATTTATAAGTTAGATCACACATTGCCAGTAACTGATCATAAAAATAAAGAAATTATATTTTACCAGTCAGCAGTGAAATGAAAAATGAATGATTCTGTGTCATGTATAAAGGATGAGTCACAGGATGGGTTGCCCAGAGGAATTAAATCTATGGGGAGCATAACATATATATACCAGTATCATATTATCTCATAACATGTTAAAAATTGTGTCCATCTTGATTTTTCCATATACACCCATGCATTTTTTCCAATTTGTCTTGCAAAAATAAGAGTAAGGAAATGAACTATAAAATTATTAAAGCAGAGAGCTACTCTCATGCTTATCTTTGTTATTTATGTGTCTGTATCTTGAGCTTGTTTGTGATCTTACCAGAGGACAGTAATCTTGAATACCTTGCTGGTCTTCTCATGGTGCAGTCACCGAAAACTTTAAGCCTCTGTAAAATATGTCAATGAATAAGACATATTTATGAAACCAGAAGATAAATGATCCACTAATATCCTGTTTTCTATAGACTGATAAAATACATGGGCCACCTGAAGGGTCAGTGAGGAATGGTTATATAATGTATGCTGTGAATGTGTCATTATGCAGAAAAACATTTAAAGAGCATTACAGCTGTTTCAGGAAATTCACAGTTCAGGGTGAAATGTACCATATGTCCATCAATGCCTAGGCACGACAGGGTGCACTGAGAAAACTATTTAGGTGGTTCCCCATTGTGCCAAGGCTTTTGAAGGCATATGGTTCTCTTCACCCTTGACTAACATTTCCCTTCATTCCTTGTTTTCTGTAGCCACCTTAAAGATTCTTTGAGTGTCATTTTCACCAGTTACATGTGTGCATATGAATGAACATGTGCATGAGAAAGAGAGGGAGAGGCAGTTATTTAGAAGACTTCCTTAGAAGTTTTTCTTCTCTATTCTTAGAGATTGAAATATTGTGTGCCAAATTTGGCAATTCTCATGGCTTCATAGACTGGGAACAAGTGAATTTCTGACACTCTACACAAGATACAAAAAAAAAGAAGTCTGAGCCTTAAACTAGAAAAAGAAAATAGAACAATAAAATCTGTGTTCATGACTGGAAGGAGAGATAATAGAAGTTCCAATAATAATAGCAGTAATAATACCACTATTAATACCAGTACTAGTACTAGTTGTACTAGATAGGAGCATAAGTAGCAACAGTAGCAATAAGAGTGACACCATATAAGCCATGGATATTTCTACTAATACACTGTAATTATTAAATCTATTTATAAAGAAACATAATTTCCTCTTTAGAAAGTGCATGCCAGTTAAATTCTTTATCACCTCATTTGAAGAACTGCTGTTGTCTAATGTCCCAGGTTGGGAAAACCACCTCTTTATTTTGTATTCCTTGTTAAGTTTCTAAAATCTGATGAACTGAATGTGCACTAGATGCCTTTTCAATGTATTAGCAAGTAAGTTCCCTGTCCAAAAATCCGAAGTTCTATTTGGTTTAATATTGTCCTTCCAGGTAGATGTGATATAAGATGCACTCTAGCAGGGTGGATGAGGACATCTTGCAGATATTTTTCCTGAAAAGTAGGGAAGGACTATTTTGTCCAAATGAAGTCACAAAGAATTTGAGAAGTACATTCTGAAAAGAAGAAAGTACTTCAAGTCATTATTGCAGCACCCAGTTTCTTAAATTCCCATCATCTGTGTTTTTGACTGTGATGCTTCCTTCTTAGTTGTCTAGAATGAATTAATCATATGGGAGATGGAGACAGGAAAGGTATTATAGTAATTCAGTAGGATTCAAACAAGAGTTAAAGGAGTAAAGTCAGAAAAGGATGCATCAAGCTCAACTGCTTTGAGGACTATTGTATGTTGTTCATTGCTATAAGAAGGTTCTTATTCCCCAAATGGAATAGAGAGACATCTGTCTGTTCACAGGGTAAGTGCCAAACACAATGGAAATGCGATGTCCAATATTCATTATTTCATTTATTTCTTGCCCCAAGGAGTGAAAATTCCTTCAGTACAAGAGGATTTGATTTCACTTCCATGGGAAAATATTAAATGTGATATAATTTCATGAAGTTGGCAATTTTCATTTTCCCCTGCTTTATTTTATTCTGTTTTCATGGAATTACCGAGTATTTAGGGGAGAGAGGAGAAAAGAATGTGCATGAATTATTCATTAGTTGGACTCTTAGAACTGTTACCCAGGGGAAGGACTGAAGTTCAAGCTCTTACTACCAGAACAATACTAAAATAAAACACTTAAAGATTTAATGCCAGGATGAGAGGTGGTAGCAACATAAACCTATTATTTGAGGAGATATTTTCATTCTAGTTTCTGCTATCTGATTTCTGTCATGAATTCTTTCTCTTCTCAAATATCAGCACATTATGTCCTAGGAACTTATTAGAAAAAGTGGAAGAAAGCACTCATCACCTAGACTATTTTACAAACTGAGCTGGCTTACATTGGAAGATCAGAGAGAGAAATCATAAAATCAGGACAGGAGATACATTCTTTCTTTTGATTTGACAATATATAGGAACATCAATTAGCTGTTTACCAGGCAAAATAGAGACATAAATTTTAAAAAGCCAGAAAAATAAGTAGTCCAGAACAAAATATAAAATATTTTGTAATTGGATCAGAAAAGCATGCTGATATGAACGAGAAATGGCTATTTTTTAATACCTCTATATAATAAAAGTCCAAAACGAAAAAAAAAAAAAGAGAAAAATTGTATTTATTGAGCATATTTTCAGAAGAACTGCAGCAGCAAGATTTGCTGATCTACATCACCTGCATGCTCACGCATCATTTTCTTAGTTGGTCTGCTACATATTAAAGTTTTACTAGATAGTACAATATTTTCTCCAAGCTGATTTAGCAAATTATAGCTAAAGCTAGCGCAGAAGACAACTGGGGCCAGTATCTTTCATATCTTTTGCTCCTGACATAAGTTGAACAGTGAGTAAAAGCACATTGCAAAGAATGCACTGTATCTAAACACTCTTGATACACTAGGGATCATGTCTGAATCAAAGCTGGCACTCAGTTTTAAGAAATGAGCCATTATTGAGCCATACCTAACACACAGGAAAACAAATCTCTCCTATATTTTAGTGATTAAATCACTTATTGAAAATAGAATTAAAGAACTAAAAAGTGACAGTGTCAAAGAAGCAAATACAGTGACAATAGGGTAGCTCATGTAAAATTCATATCCCTCAAGGAAACTTTTCTCAGACTTTGAAAATTCAAGCCTCTTGGACAAAGAGCTGAACATGCTCACAGTTGCTCGGTGTTCTCAAAGACCAATCTTTCCCAAATGCATCCACTCTATCTCTCTTCACTAATCTGTTTGACAGATCCTGTACACCACGAAATTCTGTCTTAAAGGGGTTTGGAAGTTATGAGCTTCACAAAACCCCATTGGTAGTGCCATGAAAGGGGTTTTATCTGAGGTGAAGGTAAGGGCAAACTGCAAGAAAGATGTACAGAATATCTTATGCTGCTGACAATGAGATCCGAGGTTATAAGGAAATGTGAAGTGCTGAAGTCTATATTTCACTTCAAAACCAAAGTAGATCCAGGTTATTTTGTTTATCCTTATTCTTTGTCACAATCAGAGCTTTTTTCTCAGGTTTGAAGGAGGAAGGAAGACATTAAGATGAACTTTTTTTTGGCCTTTGCCATCATAAGCCTGTCCTCTCCTTCTGACCTTACTAGGAGAAGAAGAATTTTCATGGAGATTTTTTAAAATCCCTCTAATTCATCTGTCTTCAAATGATTGATGCTGCATATTGGTACTAAGTGTAATGTGCTTATATGAATGTTCCTTTATTTAGAACTTTTTGTTCTTGAGCTATAATAAGTTTGCTGCTCAATAAAAACAAAATTAAAACCTTTGGTTCCTTTCACTTTCCTTATTTTCTCTTCATTTTCTCCTTTCATATTCTCTTTTTTTTTTTCTTCCTCCCTTTCTACTTTCCCCTTCCCTTTTCCTTTCCCTTTTTCATTCTCTTTTGCCTTCCCTTTTCCTTTTTCTTTCCCTTTCCTTGGAAAATCTCAGTGCACGGTGGTGAAAAATGCTTTTTGTCCATCCAGCAATTTCATCCAGGATTAAATTTTCCAACTCATAAGTCATTAGCCAAGATCTAATTTTTCCAATATTTTATTCACTGGAACAGACAAAGAAACTTCTTTTATTTAAGATTCTCCATCACGAAATGACATTCATCTTTAAACTCCCGAGTTTTTAGGGAAACTAGGAACAGAGAACTAGGTTTCAACCACTTGAATGTTCCAACTGTCTTAGTATTCTGATGGGTTGAAAAAGATATACATGAAAGTTCATGTTGGATCTGATAATCTCCACCCAAGAAATGTTCCACTGGAACTCTGTCTTTCAATAAATAAATTACATTTTTTGAAAATGCGAGAAAAAAAATGAAGAAAGGATAAACCTGAGTCCTAATTCCAAACATCTGTATTAATTCAGACACTTTGGATTTACATCAGATAAATCAGGTGGTTCCACCATCATCTTCAAGTAAGAAATAAAATAAAGAAGGAAACAGCAACAATATAAATAATGTAAAAAGAAATCATTAAAAAACACTCCTTTTGAGTTCCTGTTCAAATTAATAATCAAAAATATTGGTTCCCTGTCCTAACTTCAGAGAACCTGGTAATATTTGTTAGGATTTGCATTTTGATTCTATATCTAGTTAAATGACCAGATTCCTTAAAAGTCTCTGAAGCTTCATGAAATGCAGAGAACATCTATTTCTTTGATCCATTTTCACCTTTCTCTCAACTGTCTTTAACAAGAGAGAATTTATGCTCAGGTACATCACTTATCGAGTTCATATATATCTGCATCAGTGATTTCAAATGAAAAAAACATTTGACACATGTGTGCATACAGAATCCATCACCCAGAGACAGAAGACTTTGCACTCCTATTAAACACAAACATTTTCAAAAAGTCAGATAAGCGTATGTAAAGAAAGGTGGAAAACATCCTCAGAATTTTCCCTGTTGAGTATTGGCAGGACACAAAGTATCAAAAGCTTTAAAAATTAAGAGAATAGAGTGAAATGATGGCTGGAGACATCATGATCACTCTGAGGAAAAGAATCTTAAAGCAGCCTGCGAAGAAAATTTGACAATTAAATTTATGCCAGATAATAAATAATAATAAAAAATACAGGAATACATACATAGATTAACTTAATGAATTGTCAATAAAATCACCATTCCCTTGTCTTCATAATGATGTTTCTACTTATGAAATTATTTTCTGTAAATAAATCACACCAAATAAGGAACAGTCACTGCAAATTAACAAAGCAGGATGAATCTTTTCAAAACTTTTCGGTAAACCCTTTTAGATTAAATAATGCATCTATCTCATAATTGCCAGGCATTAACATATGCAATGTGTGCGGAGGATAAGTACGTAATTTTACTATATGTTTAAATATTTTTGATAATGCAGTAATACAAATGTCTTTTAAAATTTCTCCCCATCCTATAACATTGGCCTTACTTCTTTGCATAAATCTAATGGAGAGTTTTCTTCCTTCCCTTCCTATCTCCACCTCAATAATCCTATTTCCACACCCCCCAAAAAAAAAAAATCACAAAAAAGAAAAAAATGCACACAAGCAATAAAAAGTAACAAAGCTTTTAAGTGAAGTCCTAGAGCTATTCCAAATTCTCCTCATCTTCTATGTGAAGATTGTCAAAAGATGCTGAGGTTGTTGAAACAAAATTATGTTAAAAATCATTGAGGTACTTTTAGGCTTCTTGAAAAGTCCCTCAACATTTGCATTCTTATCAAACTGCAGGGTGAATTAAAGAAATGTACATTTTAGTGCCTAGACCTTGTGTTTGAACAGAATATTGCATCTTTCCTCTGAGTGCAAATTCTCAGTAGGAATGTTTTATTGTAGTAAAAATAACATCATCCTTTCATTTTAATGATAATCAAAACAGAACCTTATAAATTACTAGAACCTCTAGGGAAAAAAAACAAAAACAAAAAAACAAAAACCCAAACAGATTTTGTGATCCTATGGAATACCTTGGCTTGTAAGAGTGATTCCTGTAGCAGCCATGTTTCTCACTCATTATTATGCATTTTTTTTTTTAACACTTATCACAATAAACCAGTGTTTCTCCATCTCTAATTTTTATTGATCCCTTCATTTTCTTGTTTCGTTTTACCCTTTGTCTTTGTGGTTAGCTCTTTGCAGTCATTACTCAGAGCAATACTATGTAACATCAATGAGAGAGCAGGCTGCCTTTTCATTGTATCTGTGTCTGTTCAATGGTGCAAGTTCACACCAGCTCCCTTGCCTGGGCTCTCATCTTCCTTTAGTGGGTAACAATGCCTGAGGATTAACTCTGTCTGGCCTGTTGAAAGTTGAATCAGACTGCTGGTGGCTTTGGCTGTGCTTTCTTCACTTACAGGAAAGCCTCTGGAATTAAACCACAGCCTCACTTGACAAAAACAACATTTTCCAAAAAGCAACTGATGATGTGAGGGAAATAGAGAGATTTGGGCAGTAAGTGCTCTGCTTATTTTCTATATGTGGACTTGAGTTATTCCTTCCTGCACGAGTAGAGGTAGAGCAATAAAGAGCAAAGCTTGGACAAGGCAATGAAGGACATCAATAAATTTCTGCTGACAGCTTTGCCCTTTGTCTTTATTGACTTTTGCCTTTTTAACCTGCAGTTAAGCTACATTTGATTGCTCATCTTTTGAGCTAGTCCTACTGTTGGAGGGTGACACAAAATGTTTCTAGTAATGTTAGGAAATAAAGCACAGTAGTTTAAAAAAGCACTTGAGGATGAATTTGCTGTCCTTTATGCAAATACTTCATTTGATAACAACAATGGAATTACTCAATTTGGGTTCTATCTGATCAACTGTTCCAGGTACAGATTTATTGCAGCTTCACTAAGAAGCCTGAGTATTCACTATCCAGTCTTGACACCTGAGATTATTCTGAGGGAAAGCTACATGCCTGACAACAGTCATTTCGCACTCGTTCTTCATTCAATAGCTCTTCAGATTCCTGACTACAGCCTGGTAGACAGCTATCCCAGGATTTAACTTCAGACTGAACAGTGCCACTGAGGCTGAATATAACTTACAGACATTGTCAGTATGATGTCAGAGCTTTGGTAAATCATCATAACTCCCTTGCATGAGTTTAGTTGAATAGTAGTGCTACTGTCCTATTTGTTTGCTGAGCTGGAAGATTTCTGTCAAGGATGTCAATAGAAAACTGCTCTTTATTTTACTGGAATGGATTATGTTTTGAACATAGAATGCATTGTGTAGAAAAAAAATAGGTGATGATATGACATACAGACCTGAGTACAGTGAATTTTCAAAACTAGAAAAGCCTTGTATTCTCTATATTTTTTAAAATCTTTAAATTAAGACTATGTGGCTGGATGGATAACTTGTTTGTTTGGTTTTTTGTTTTTTTCCTAAGTAATTTCTTTTGTCCAGAAGTTGTTTACAAGAATAAAAAGAAAAAAGCATAAAATAATCTAATATTTGTTCAATGCATCAAGTTTTACTTACAAAGAATGCATAGGGAATTTTCTGTGAGGAAAACAAACTAGTTTCTTTGTTCTTTTCCCCATGTCATGCAAAATTTTTTTCATTTGTTTATCTTTCAGGTATCATTAAAGTTTTCCTGGTTGTGCTTTGTGGGTTGTTTTTTATTTTTATATTTCTGTGAGCTTTTACTTCTTTTTTAAAAATTTCTTTTATTTATTTATGTATGTGTACAGCACAAGCATTTTGCATGAAGTTTCATGGAATGCCTTCAAATATACAGTGCAACTACTACTTAAGATTTCTCACATGTCTAGATATCACTGAAGGGAATTTGTCATTCCTTACAGTCACCTCAAACTGAAGGCAGTCACTATGGAGGTTAAGATTAAACACATATGTTTTAGTCAAATATATTTTATTAGGACCAGAACAGGATAAATTACAAGGGCTGGAACTATGCAGTCTGCATTATATAGTATATTAGAACATGGGAATTTAGTCACCTCTTGGCCACAGAATCTATAGGTTATGAAGAATACCTCTCACAGTGTACTGGTAAAACTCCTCCCTTTTTCATCCAAGACCTCATTATCTGATAGGGAAAAAATGTCCCAAAAGGAGCACATAGTTGAAATAAAATTAATGTTATATCCTAAGTATTGAAATTGTATTTCTGAAAGTTTAAAACTAATACATTGGGTGCAGTTGACGAGGTTTTGGTAGCAGAGAGGCAGAGGCAGGAGAGGATGGGCCTGCAGGGGTGGCCTCTGTGGGAAGAGGCCTGCCAGACACAGCCAGTTCCATTTCTCTCCTACCAGAGGAGACACATGGTGCCATCTCTGAGGAAACAAATTTCAGAAAAGAGAGAGGAGGATACAAAGAATATGACAAACAGTAAGGAAAATACAGAGGTCAGGGAAGGAGAATGAAAAAACTTCATAGTGGAGTAGGTATCTACTGCAGCCTGGGGAGGATTCATGGTGGAGCAGCTGGGTTTTCACAAAGGAACAATATCTAAAGGAAAGCCAAGGCAAAAGCACAGGAAGAGGCTATTAGGAAAGATAGGCAGAAAGGAACTGCTACGTACAGACTGTAGCACACACACCAAGGGCAGAGCCTCACTGTGCTGCTCAGGGTGGTGAGGTCAGTGCCAAGAGAAGGACCTGAGAAAAATTGGAAAAATATGTTGATTTAAAGTTTATCTACTTGTTTCTTACTACCCAAGCTGGCAATAAATTAAATTATTTTTTTACCCAGTGACTGTGTTTAACCTGTGACTGTGAATTGCATCAACATCCTTGTCTTTATCTCGACCCAGCTTTCTAATGCTGTTTTCTCCTAATGTCCTGTTGAGGAGGAAGGGTGTATGAGCTGTTGTGTGGACATTTGGCTGTTAGAAAAGCCTCACTGGCTACATCTATGAAAGACATATAAAATATTGATAAAAAAGTCATTCAGATGCTAGCCTATCAGAGGATTTAATCCATTTCAGGGAACACAGAGAATTTAAGTAATTAGAGAAAAGGTAATTGAATAACAGTCACTAGGAGGTATTAATGAGTGTGACAAGATTACTAAATGGACTTTCAAGGATCATACTGTTTTCTGACTAACACTTGTAGAGTATGACAGTGTATAAATGGCAGTAGAAAGAGGATGGGATTAAATAATACAAAGTAAATGTTCACCTGAAAAAAACAAGACCTCTAAAAACTCTCTGGACACTACCAAGAGGAAACAGCAAAGTCTAAGCCACTCAGCAATACATTTATAAGGTCCAAGGAGCTTCTTGTCTGTGACAAAAAAGTAAGTTTGTAAGATGTACAGTTCACCATAAAAACAAGTGGAAGAAATGCCAACTAATCTTTTTTTTAGGGTAATTTTTTTAGACTTATATGATGAGAAGAGAATTGAGTTTCTAGTGTCTAGAAAAATGTGTGCATAGGTGTGTGCCCACATTACACCAGCCAGATGCTGTTCAGCCATTGTAGACAAGTGCTGTTCCTGAGACAATAAGATCGACTGAGATGGAGCTTAACTGGCTTGGGCATGATAGACATGCAATAAGGCTGGAGCTTGCTCATTAGGTCAGAGTACAGACTTGGCAAGCTGAAACCTGTTATGCACAAAGATACAGACATGAGCACATGGCCATACACACAGAAAATCACACAGTGCTGTGCACAGGCTCAGGCAGGTAATTTAAGACAGAATTCTGAATTTCAAACTTGCTTCCTTCTGCATTATGTTGTACATAAAATCTCCTACCCACACTAGAGAAAATAGCATGGGTCAAATATTTCATGATGCAGCCTTTTTAAAAAATAATTTCTAGCAATAAAAGTGTGATTGATAATAAATGAATATGTAAAAATATAGGAGATAGCTGAGAGAATTAAAATGATGATATTACAATGATGTCTTTATTTTCCCAGCAGGATTTGTCAAATTCTTCTCCTTACAAAGGGCTCAAGTAATGATTCTATTATTATGTAAAATTCAGATTTTTTTTTCACTTTAAATGTATTAAGTTCCATGATTGTTTTTGTGCACACAAAATTCATGAATAAGGGAGACAGGACTGCAACCCTGCATCTACATATGCTAAGGTAGCGTTGGCAGGTGTATCTGTTCTCCAGGACTCCAAAATTCCTTCCCTCTGTAGCTGGCTATACTTACACAGCAGCTACAGCATGGGCACACACAGAATGATTCAGGTCCTTCATCCTTCTCAAATTAACAAATTCCCAGTTCTTTTTTTTTTTTTTAATTTAATATTGAGAAGAAATTTTGTCATCCTTGTTTTGGTACAGGAATGTCTACCCTGTTTTAATTTACTGAAAGCGCTGTAACTATTTATATGCTCTTTATACACTCTTCATATGCTGTCTTTCTGACTATATACCAGTTAAATCTCATTGAATGTCAACATATCTTCCCTTAAGTGCCTAGGGAATGGTCAGCTTTCATGTAAACTTGTTTATGGCAGTACCTATGAAGGTATACTTTTCCGAATTGCTTTGATTCAGTAATCAGTCCAAGCCAGGAATAGAAATTATATTTTCTGCAGACTTTATGTCATTTCTCCATCCTGAAATCATTGTATATTATAGGAGAACATTTTTCTCACAGTATTCGTATGAATATTGTTTTATAGTCAGCCAAGTGGGGTTAGATAGAGAGAAAATAACTTAGAATTTTTTGGGATATTTTTCTCTACCTTACATATCTACTCTATCTAAAAAAATACAGATACATATATGCATATTTTTATTTTAAGAAACCCAAATATTTCTAGAAAAATTGAATCAACTTTTGATTATAAATCCCTTTTATTTTGTTTGGACATTGTTCTCCTTCTTTCTGTCCAATAAATTCAGCTGGATCCTATTTAATAAGATTCCAAGCTTGCCATAATTCTCCTGTCATCATTTTGTCATTAAAATATACCCACCCATAACAGACTGCTATTTTGTTTTTCTTTCACTCTCCCTCCACCCTTTCAAGTGGATGACATAAGTAAAATTTAAAATTGTTTTTTTCCTAATACATCCTTGGACCGTAAATATTTTAAGGTTAATTAAACATTAAAATATATATTAGAAAACAGAGAACTCTAGATATATAATGGTAAATGTCCTTTACTTACATTCTGTGCTTCTTGCCAAAAAAATTGATCCAATAATTGTTATTTTGAAGTTTCAATGGTATGTCTTATAAACTGTTGAAAGATTTTAAAAACAGAAGACTATATTTTGTCTTTTTTAACTAAAATGTTCAAGCATGGATATATGTGTTTATATAAATGTGTATCCACACACAAGTATATGTGTTCATGTATGCATAATAATATGCTTATGTAGTCTCACATGCAAACACTCACACCTACTTGCAGAGATTTTATTGCCAGGGTGGATCTATGCATGCCAATCAGACTAACGTCACTGATTTGAGAAAGAAACTTTTCCACACAAAGAGGGAATATGA